TGTGGTATGAGTGCCTATGAGACAACTCTCCATCCAAGTCAAAATTTATAAAAGTAAACCATTATAGGTCAAAGTACGGTCTTCAACACGGAGCCTAGCACACCGAACATCAAGATATAAAGGGCTCCCAAAAAGCCTTATACAACTGAGTTTTCTGTTTTCTCGTTTTTCTTATATATAAAAATAAGGAGATTTGGTATGATTGTCAATGCGATAACTATCCTGCAAAGTTGAAATGAAGTGGATGTAAGCAATTATAGGCAACAGTACGGCCTTCGGCAATAAGAAAAACCCATACCGTATAGTAGGCTATAAAAGGCCCCGACATAGAAGGGGGCAACTATGATTACCAAAACTAAAATTTAAAGAAATAGAAAAAAATGTAATAATGAAATATTTAGTAGACAGCTTTCACAAGAAAAGAAAAAAAACATAACTTTGAAATATAAAGGTATACACGATGTCAAGTATTCATATCAATACTATGACTATGTGTAAAGAATTATTTGTACCTCTGATCATAGAATATAAAAATCGCTTCTTCCATATTCCAAAAGTCCTTTCTATTGTTGACCTTGTTGAGCAGTGCCATCTGTTAAACCTTGCTTGACCCCTACCAGCAGCTGGTTGTCTGTATGGTGTCAGCAAAAACTGTCTGCAGGGATAGCCACTGTCTCCTAACAGCACACCTTGTCCAATTCCTTGATATCCATTCTCAAGATGTTGTCCTATGCCGAAATATTTTGATGATTGTGAAAAATTAAATGACCACCCCCCTTTAAGATATATGTGACCGCCCTCTGATCATAGTGTCAGAAAAGGTTGACACCCTCCTACCAAACATTTCTTCAACCATGCCTTTACCTATTTTTGTTAATTTTTTTTTTTTTTTTTGGTTTCAATTTGAAAATTAAAAAAATCATGACCCCCTCTTCTTCTTGGTCCAAATTGTTTTCTGACCCCCCCCCCCCCCCCCTTTCTTAATTTACCGCCCCCTGGTGAAAAATTAATGACCGGTCCATTAGGGTATGCACCTGAGGTAATTTCCAACAAAGGACAATTATTTTGTTTGTTTGTTGTTTTTTTTTTAGGTCGGGGGGTGGGGGTGGGGGGGGGGGGGGGGGGAGGGGTGGTTCTGTCTTTTCTCACAAAAACATTTAAAGGTAGATCCAGAATTTCTGAAAAGGAGGCACACTATTTTTTGTTCTTGTTCTATAAGGAAGGCCGGACCAAATTTTACCCCCAAATCCCTGTAAAATTTGAGAAAAAAACAAACAGATAAGGGTTGGGTGGGCACATCTTTAAAAACTATTTTGATAAATAAAATTTATGTTAAGGATAAACACTTAGCAGTTAAATATAAATCTATCTCATGATCGATCATATTTGAAAGTAAAAAGCAATTTACGGATCCGATAAAAAGTATATGACAAGATTGAGTTGTCTTTCTTTTTACGTCAATTTCAAATTAGCTGAAAACCAGTTCAACAGAAAACCAGCCAATATTGTTTATGGTCAAGGACAATCGAAGATGCCAAGAAAAAGGACGCACACATAATGTATGTTGTAAACATAAAATAGGTAGAATATAGTGTTTAAAATTACCTTCATGGTCACAAACTGCTTGTACATTGATGCTGTGGAACCCCTTTCTGTTCACAAATGCCGAATCATCAACGCTAGGCCCAGTAATCCGTATGTGCCTTGTGGGTCCCATCAATGCATTCAACCACGTTTGGAAAACTAGCTTGTTCTTCCTCTGGTTATCTGGCCACGATGTTAACTGATACTTTCTGGCAACTGATGCATCAGTCACACGGTCAATCACCAGAGACATAGTTGATTTGTCAAATTCCATTGTGTCCCCAATAACTTGCAATTGAGATCCACTGCCATAAAACCGCAAGGCAATCATAATATGTTGCTCTACTGTAAGGGCTGTCTCTTTGTTTGTCCCACGCTCCAGATCTGCTCTCATTAAATCAGACAAGTACTGAATGGTCTCTCTTCCAAATATATACCTCTGCCTTAACTCATCAGTTAATTCCCTCTGAAGAGTGTCAAAACCTCGAAAATGTCTCACTCTTCTTACCACAGGTGGTTGAAACAAAACATTGACTGCCATCTTAGATTGAGGTTAACAAACTGATTAAAATTTAATCAACCTTAATGAGGTCGATTAAATATAACGACACTTTGACAATTTTAAACGACTCGTCAAGCAAACTCCATAGGCCATAAAGACCTAGGGTTATTTAGTTTGAGATCCTTGGGCTACTGATTTGTAGTTTGTTTAAGTCCCCTTTGTTTAAAATAGCATCTGCTCTTAAACTGCAGAAGAAAGGTAGGCATAGCAGAACATGAGTGTAAATTGTTAGTTGTATTTGCCTTATTTAGTTCAAATCGATCTTATGACTGCGTACATGAATAATAAATAACCTTTGATACAACAGAAGTGGGTTTTAATAAACGAGAATTCGCTATCCATCTCAATTATTTCAATAGAATGTATGATAATCTATATATTATAAAATGTGGTCATACCAAAAAAAAAAAAAGAGAAAACAATAACTATAACGAACGATGGAAAATTGGATGGTTATATGATATTCAAAATCTCCTTAAAGGACACCGGCCACTTCAAACAATCATTTGTTTGCAGTCTTCTAACAGAACGTTCACTAATGCCTTTCTATTTTATTTGATCAAATAATCTTAGAACGTTGGCTGTATTGTTTCCGCTAAACATGATGGCACTTGCAAGTAAAAGATTTCCCCGTGGTAGTCTTTCATGACAGTTTTGGGATTCAACTTGTACACGTGTCCAAATGCACATACAGATAATGTAGATATCATTGTTTCTCTACTAAATTCAATGATTGGAACGCATCGACTGTTACACTCTCGGCATACTGAGAGTAGCTGAAATAATGCCGTTTCAGAGACCATGTAGTACTTTTCTTCAACTTGATCAGTGCTTTCTTCCATTCTGTAATTGCTTGTTTCTTCATCATTATCAGAACCAAACTCATCGTCCCAATCTTCTTCCTCGGACTCGTTTAAAATGTAATCAGGATCGTTGTTATCAAATTCTCCATCCAAGTCAAAATTTATAAAAGTAAACCATTATAGGTCAAAGTACGGTCTTCAACACGGAGCCTTGGCTCACACCGAACAGCAAGATATAAAGGTCCCCCAAAAAGCCTTATACAACTGAGTTTTCTGTTTTCTCGTTTTTCTTATATAAAAAAAATAAGGAGATTTGGTATGATTGTCAATGCAATAACTATCCTGCAAAGTTGAAATGAAGTGGATGTAAGCAATTATAGGCAACCGTACGGCCTTCGGCAATAAGAAAAACCCATACCGTATAGTACATATACATATACATCCCGTATAATCATTTTTTTTTGTCGTGACATTCGTGAAAGAACCGTGTCGTAGATTTCTGGAGGAATTCAATAATTGATATGTTATTTTGTTTTCGTTATTAAAATTCACGTAACCTTATTCGTTAATTCCATTTTTATAGTAGTCTCAGAATGGCAATACACGAACTTCTTCTACAATCTAGAAGTCTTGAACATTTCAGTATATTTTACGATAATTTTGTAATGCATCGTAGTATAATTTACATGGGTATACACATTTTTATAGTAGTCTCAGAATGGCAATACACGAACTTCTTCTACAATCTAGAAGTCTTGAACATTTCAGTATATTTTACGATAACTTTGTAATGCATCGTAGTATAATTTACATGGATATACACATTTTTTATGTAAATAAAATAAAATACCTGTGACAATTTTCAGTGGAACAAAAACGGGAAGAACGATATCATAAATATGATAATTGTTTATAAGTACTGAAACCATACAAATAACCATGAACGTATTTTTCACACAAGTTTCGATAAATAATAAAGAGGATCAATTGTACCTGACGTTTCTGTCTTTTTTCGAAGGCCGACCTAGGCTTTTTAGGAGAAGATGGTCATTTTTCTGCATCCACAAACACAGGAATGTCGGGTATGGCGTCATCTTTCAGTGCTGCCTTTGCACCCGGATATCCCAATTCTAAAAGTCTTTCTGGGTGTCTGTTATACTGATTAAGGGTAAAATGCTTAGAACAAATTCTGCTATGTTTAGACGGTGTAAAGTCCTGTCGTTTACAATAATGAACCCAAGCACGATTTCTCTGAGAATCTTTCGGGAAAATAAACCAATATACATTTTTGTCACATTGAGAATTGCTGCTGCAACCGTAAACCGCACAATACGGCATATTTTCACTAATATTTACGAAATAAAAAATATTACTTCTTTTCTGTTTAGAAATTCTACTGCATAAAGGTTTGCTTTTACATAAAACTAAAACATGTATGTAATATGAGATATGAATGGAACCCTATACTCATGGCATTTTTGTAGTATCTATAAACACTGGACACTTTTAATTTGCAAAACACTCATTTGCAAATCCGCCGCCGCCTCTCCTTAGAGCTACAGTGTCGTGTATATAACCAAAATGTGCGGAATTACATGGGATTCAATAATTTAATTGCTTTTCTGCTGTTATTATTATAGATATTTTGTAATTTGATTTAGAAAAACATGGGATTTTCAATATCCCATGGGATAGGGCAAATCCCATGGGATTGACCATTATCCCATGGGATTTTGGTTAAATCCCATAGGATTTTTTGGGGTCCCATGGGATAATTGTAGTCCCATGGGATATTTGTTGTCCCATGGGACTATAATTATCCCATGGGATTTTTAATATCCCATGGGACACATGGGATAAAATAAAATCCTATGGGATTCAAATTATAAATATACAGTAAATAAATGTGTATGTTACAATGAATTCTGTTTGGTAGTAAATTGTTTTAAGATGAATCTTTTTAGTTGAATATCTTTTTTTCCTTGGAAATGTTAATGCAATTATATTGTTCTATAACTGTTCAAAACTAAACTTTTAAACAACAAAGCAGATAATGTAAGTATCAATATATGTTTATTTATGAATTCTAGAATACTTTTTTGAAACACAATTTTTCCCATTTGAAATCAATGAAAACTCTATTAATAGGCTTAACATACTAGTAGCTTTTTACATAAATCTATTTTTTTTTCAGGATATCCCTCCACCCAAAAAATTAATAGTTTCTTATCATCCAGCATTGTGTGATCGTAATGTATAGTCCACTTTTTGGCCATTCAGCACAGAACATAGTCATTATTGTGGTTTTAATATCTTTAGATATTTAATGGAACTTCAATTCATTGACTGAGTGATGAAAATAATAACTGATCTGACTTTTGTCTTTGAATTTATTTTGGTCTTGTTTCTGTGTTTTCTCTTTTTATTCTAAGTGATGAATTTCAATCCTTCTGAAAAAGAACCAATAAAATCCGAAGTTATGGATAATAAAAAATTGTTTGCATACATGTAGCAATAACATATGATTTTCAATAAAAATAGCTATGCGGTATGGATTTTACTGATTGTTGAAGGTTGTCCAGTGTCATCAGTTGCTAACCTCCTACATCCTTTGGTCTCTGATGGAGAGTTGTCAAATTAGCAACATACCACATCTTCCTATTCTAATATTATATAACAATCAATTTATGTATTCTTCTTTATAACATTTGGGTATTTTCCCCAGTTATATATATATATATATAGATCAATGTTAAAACTTTAGGCAATTACAATAAAATTCCATTTTTCACAAGAATTTGCAATATATTATACAGAAAACCAACAATAGAAACAGCACTTCTTCAAGCTTCTGAAGTTCTGAAAGAGTTCCACTTGTGTTTTATTTCAATTAGAAAATACATTGAACTCTTTGGACATGTTGGAAATTATAACATTGATATAAAAAATTATATTGTTTTTTTTCTTATTTTTGTGTTGTTCGGTTGCTGTCTCATTTTTATATATGGTTATACATATATCCTAAATCTTTTTTTTTAAACTTAATCATTAATAGTTAAAAAAAAATTTTTTGATAATCTCAAAACATTATTATTCTATCAAATAACTTATTTCCAAGTTCACAAAACACCAATGTGTCAGATATTAAATTTAAGACATGTATAAACATGATCAACAAGCAGTTGACAGGATGTCATGCAAAAATCTCACTAATATTAAACTTTCACAAAAACTCCATACTCAGCGAGTACTATTAACGTTCTTTATAGTACATGACAAATTCCTAATACAGGACACCATGCCTGGTAAACACTAGCATGTGTCAATGTCTAGTCAATCATGTAATCAGGCTCAAAATCTTAGTTTGGCACTGAATTTAAAAATTCAACACATAATGAACATGTGTATGAAATTCAACTTATGGTAAGCTATATACCTTAACCTAAAACTTTAACCTAAGAATGTACTATAATTTCACATTATGACATTTCTATGTTCAGTGATTCATAAAATCAGGGTAAAAACAGTAAATGTGGTGTATAATGTATAAACAAGAGTGCACACGCTGAAATGTTGCGCCTTCCTTACTAATCATTGATATCATGTTGATAGTCCTAAATATAAAGCTTTACTACAACTATCACATAAACTCAACATGATCCAAGAAAATGAATTCAAGGTCATATGAACCTGACAAGAAATATATGTACACCTTACAATCATTCAATATACTAAATACAGTTGAACTATTGCTTATAGTTTCTAACATTGTCTAAGAAGCAGACTTAACCAAGGAAACTAAACATTGACCAATGAACCATGAAAATGAGGTGAAGGGCAGATGAACCATGCCAGGCAGACATGTACAGCTTACAATCCTTCCATACAACACATATAGCTGACCTATTGCTTATAGATGAAGAAAAACAGACCAAAACACAAAAACTTAACACTGAGCAATGAACCGTGAAAATGAGGTCAAGGTCAAATAAAACCTGCGAGACTGACATACATGTACATCATAAAATGTTTCCATACACCAAATATAGTTGAACTATTGCATTTAGTATTAGAAAAAAAGACCAAAACTCAAAAATTTAACTTTGACTACTGAACCATGAAAATGAGGACAAGGTCAGATGACACCTGCCAGCTAGACATGTACACCTTAAAATCATTCCATACACCAAATATAGTAGACCTATTGCATACAGTATAAGAAAAACAGACCAAAACACAAAAACTTAACTATAACCACTGAACCATGAAAATGAGGTCAAGGTCAGATGACACCTGCCAGTTGGTCATGTACACCTTACAGTCCTTCCATACACCGAATATACTAGACCTATTGCTTATAGTATCTGAGATATGGAATTGACCACCAAAACTTAACCTTAAATATAAAAAAGAAGATGTGGTATGATTGCAAATGAGACAACAACTCTCCACAAGTGACCAAATGACACAGAAATTAACAACTATAGGTCACCGTACGGCCTTCAACAATGAGCAAAGCCCATACTGCAGTCAGCTATAAAAGGCCCCGAAATGACAATGTAAAACAATTCAAACGGCCTAATTTATGTACAAAAAATGAACGAAAAACAAATATGTAACACATAAACAAACGACAACCACTGAATTACAGGCTCCTGACTTGGGACAGGCACATACATACAGAATGTGGCGGGGTTAAACATGTTAGCGGGATCCCAACCCTTCCCCTAACCTGGGACAGTGGTGTAACAGTACAACATAAGAACGAACTATAAAAATCAGTTGAAAGAGGCTTAACTCATCAGATGGATAAAAATACAAATACTACAAATACAAGTGGACGTGGCCGGGTACTTGTACATCCAAACAACAAAAAGACACTAAGTATAGATCTGAGAGTACTCACAGTTACTGACAGCTAGTACAAAGCCACTAACAACTAATAAAAAAAATCATGCATCTAAGACTAAGTTCTTGTTCACTGATCCATGAAATGAGGTCTAGGTCAAGTGAAAACTCTCTGACGAGCATTAGGACCTTGCAAGGTACGCACATACCAAATATAGTTATCATATTACTCATAATATGAGAGAAATTAACATTCAAAAAAATCTGAACTTTTTTTTCAAGTAGTCACTGAACCATGAAAATGAGGTCAAGGACAATGGACATGTTTCAGACAGAATTGGTATCATGACATGCATGAGGCATCTATATACAAAGTATGAAGCATCCAGGTCTTCCACCTTCTAAAATAAAAAGCTTTTAGGAAGTAAGCTAACGCCACCGCCGTAGCCGCCACTGGATCACTATCCCTATGTCGAGCTTTCTGCGACAAAAGTTGCAGGCTCGACAAAAATACATGAACATTTTAAAGTACTAAATTTTAAGTATATACATGTAAAACCACAAGTTACTAACTGAAGTTCAGTCTCATGGTGAACTGTAACCAAAAACTTTAAGTGAATACAATTTAGAGAAAGACAGATGGACGCACAAACACTATCAAAACAGAGCATAAAACTTACCGAACAAGATCTTTCAGAAGCAGGAAAATTGAAGTGTTTCTTTTCTTTCTCTGCCCTCCATGATATAAACTTCAAATTCATTCATGCAAAATATGAAAATCTGCAAAAGTAGGACCTTGTACCGCAGCTTATCCACATTTTGACTTTTGAACTGCATTGTTCTTTTCATCTTGCTGGCAACCTAAACATAAAAAAAAAAATGATAAACACATAATTCTGGATTAACTTCGTGTATTTATTTTTGTTGGTACAAACAATTTTTTCCAACTTTAAACTAAATCTGCCTCTGCTTTAAAAACCAACTGGAAACCATTATTAACTGCATGTATTTATCTTAATTGAAAACAATTTCTTGAGTTTTTCTCATTTGTATCACCCTGTTATTATATATAAATTTTATTTTTGTCCCTTTTTAAAAATAGGAATGCATGGTTTAAATTCCTCAATAATCATGATAATTCTAGGTCAGTCAATTAAAAATGTATGAATAAAATATTTAACCTATATACTATTAATATCAATATATTTATTTTTTGATAAAAACTAGGCTCTGTGTTAAAGGCCGTACCTTGACCTATAATGGTTTACTTTTATAAATTGTGAATTGGATGGATAGTTGTCTCATTGGCACTCATACCACATCTTCCTATATCTACAAACAGATTCTATGGGCGAGCAGACATTACACCCTGGAGGTGGTTTTATAAAAAGCATACGACTTAGATGTACCATAAGCATGGAAAAACAATTCAGCAGTCAGTTTCACCAAAAAACTTACAAATAATATTGATAGTAATTAAGTCATGTACAATACAGTATACTTTATACGATTACCTGTATTTTTTTTTTTTGTAAAACCGACTCAAGTATACTTATAATCAATCTTAGTCGTAAGTATTAAGTATTATTCATCTTTTGGATAATTTTATATTGGTTTATTTTATGAATATGCAGTGGCGGATCCAGAACTTTTCATAAGAGAGGGCCGGCTCCAGTCATGCTTCAGTGATCCCTATATAATCAACCAAATTTTTCCCAAGAAAGGGCCCCCCCCCCCCCGCCCCCCTATTTGAACTTTCAAATTCACAACATGCCGGTGCCTGTGACTGTGTTTAAAGTGGTGGGTTTTCACCCTCGTTGTATTGCGGAATAACGATTTAGGCAAATTGAGAAAAACATCCATGTCTGTGGTTGATAATAGTGTGTATGCATTAATTTTCTATACCTTCTTATTTAATATTTTTCCAATTTTGAGTACTGACGGCTAGTACCAATGTCTAAAGACCAATGTGCTATTTACAAGTGCGATCGACGAATGCAGGGGAAAGAAACTTATCAATTATGTTTATTCTTAAGACAAAAACTGAGCCGCCGTAAAAATGAACCGTGTCGAGAATGTTACTGACACGTAATAGGGCAGAGACATATATACACATATGTGTATATATGTCTCTGTAATAGGGTCATCCCTCGAGAACATTAACTAGTACATTGATAATTTACTATGCAGTCAGTATCCCGAGAAAAAAACAACGTATGGATGCAAAACGCTTAGTGGTTTCGGCTGACTGCTGATACGTGCACTTTGTCTCAAAATATCCCGGATAGTTGTTTCATTACCAATCATACCACATCTCCTTATTTTTATATATACGAAAGCTTTATTCATATTTTTTGGTGTATTGATGAATGTGTAAAGATACATTTTGTAATACAGCACAAGAGATGCAGATTATATAAAACTTATAGGTCGAAGACATACTGACAACGCCATGGCAAAAACTTAAAAACGACCAAATGACGTACAACAGTCTATAAAACTTAACTATAGCATACAAAACGCAAATATTTAAAACACATAAGAAGCACCCAGACAGTCAAATAGAAATTAAAAGAATAAATAATTTGTAAACTAGGCCTACAGCTATATTTTCTTATCATCTAACAGTAAACATAGGTTCTGGTATTATGTGATAAGTCATTTTTTCATGCAGACCGAGTTTCATTGATACTTTGAACTTAAAGTGGTATTATGCATATCAGCCCAGATTATCATATGTGTGTAATTTTATTAAACAATTCACCAATACACATTCTAAACAGGTTAAATTCAATTTACAAATTCAGATCTACTGGCATTCAACACCCAATTACTTACTTGCTGTATATTGCTAACTTTGATTGTATATTGTCAATCCCTCAACATCGTGAATACGCCATGCGAGGTGTTGGCTATGTTTGATACAGGGTGGCGGCTTCGAAGCGTAGAACAAAATCCAGGTAAATGAAAGTATAAAATTTTGTTGTTGAAAATTTTAAGTACTAAATTCCTAAATTTGTACTTAACTCCGTTCTCCGGGTAACATGGTTGTTTGATATGAAAATAGGATAAAAGCTTCCGAAAATTATCACATTATAAGTATTCGTAAATGGATATGAAAAAACCTAACAAGGAATAAGTATTGGTAAACGGACAGAAAGTCGCAGTACAAAAGTTTAAATTAATTATTTTACTATTGTTTAAATATATGAGAGAAAGTTCTTGACGAATTGACTTTATTTATAAATGTATTTAGTTGAGGAAATGATTAATTCGCCTTCAAATAGTTTTTTTTTTTTTATCAAAAACTTATAAAAAGGAGACATTTTTGACAGCATGAAGCCAGTTAATTACCAAACCACTTTGGCAGATTGTTTTCTTAACAATCATTGTTCAATATTAATATTCAAAAATAAATTTTGTTTACAAGTCCGTTTCCTTTTAAAAATATTTCAGAAAAATGCTGAAACGTTTTTAAAATTAAGTTTATTCAAAGAAAAAAAATATCCCAAAACTGAATCGTGACTTTTTACTTGTTACTTTATGTTGTACGTTCTAAGTGTCAATCCTAGCAAACACAAATTTGGAAATAAAATCGATTACGATGTAATTGTATAGAAGAAAAAAGGGGGGTTAATGAACAAATTATTACTATACACTCATATACTTCTAAAAAGATTTGAATTTGTAAGCTGTCTATAGATAATGTTAAATCATTTCAAGAGTTTCAATTAATTTAGGAGAAAAAAAAGATTATAAACAGTTTAGTTTTCGTCGCCTACTACTATAAAAAATAGTGATTCTTTTTGTAGATTTGGTACTTCAGTTTCGACTCAAAATTTCCTATTGAAATTGTTAGAAATATTTAGGAGAAGATTGTATTTGTAATTTATGTAATTGTGGTGATATTGGCGACGCGATTCATTATATTATAGCAAGGATTTGTACAAATCCTTGATTATAGAATGTTCGACAATAGACGAAAGTAGACAAACCCTATTTAAACGGGGTTTTGATATCCAAGGACGCCACATTTTACATCGAATAAGATCTATATTTTTTAACGTTTTCAAATGAAATAACTTGAATTGAAAATTTCCCGACTATGTGAAGATTTCTTATATTTCGAAATGGCTTCAATTATTACAAACAAAATGAAAAATGTATTAAACTTCTTTTTGTAAAAACAATATTCATGTATTTTTAGAAACATAAGTTATACAGATGTTCTCAATAAAAAACAATCATTAATATACTTTATGGTGATATTTATAATGACTGGCAGACTGCTATTTAAAAGTGCGGTCATATGCCTCAGTGTTATAGGTGACTGCAATTTAATAAAATTGAAATTAAGATTTTTATTAATATTTTGTATATAGGTATCCCTCAATGATGTATAGCATGGACAGACTGAGAAGAAATGGTATTCATCCTCAATTTCTTGTCTACTGCAGGATAGGCAAATAACATAAGTTTATTTGCTACTTTTTTTCTTCTTTATTTTATATAAATGATTTTTTTTTCTTCAAATTTTAACATTTTTTTCTTCGAAAAATTTGTAGTGTTGCAACAGGGAATGGACACAGATACTTAACTATATTTAACGAAAGAAATTTTGTGTAATGTCATCAATCTGTATTACACATCGACAGGATGTTCTCTAGAAAACTATGGTATTTCTAAAACGTTATACACACCCCAGGGTACACGCACTGTCGTAATGGAAAATTACTGCATGCTTTAATTACCTGTAATCAGCCATGCAACAAATCCGTTGACTGACCATGTCATTACAGTTTATTTTTTTTTTCCTTAGATCAAAACGGAATATTTATTTTAACTTTAAAATTCAAAACTTTAAAAAGTATACTTTGACATAATTATGAAGTAAAAGAATTTAACAATTAAATAATTGGATTTTTCCAAAGATTAAGATACAATTATTATATTTATTATTCTAGGACTGACAGATATATCACAGGCACTTGTCTCAGATTTTCCCCCTATATACCTTAATTAAAGTATATAGATTTTTTTTTTCTGAGACAAGTGCCTGTGAGATATATACATGCATAAGTCCCAGACATATATACTTGTAAATCAAAATAATATAATGTTTCAGTTTTGTTGATGTCACAAATACACATGAATTATTTGATGATGCATGCTGGAATTTCTTATATAAATGCATGACCGTGACTACAGACATATATCCATTTACAGATTCTATAATTTCTTGAGAAAAAAAAATCAGGAGGGAAGTGAAACAAACATTTTAAGCTTTTATTAAACATTGTTGGGAAAACAATAAAATACGACACTGAGTTTTGAAAAAAAAGTTTATGATTGGTCTTGATTTTTTTTTAACAATGATAGAAACAATTTTTTGTCCCAAGAAAAAAAAACAATGCCCCCTTTTTAGCCACACCGACACACGCCGATGAATGGAGAATTCCAAGTAGGGTCACAAGGTCACATTTTAAAACTTTTTCAGTCGCCCAGTCTCAAAAAGCAATTTTGACTGGCTTTGTTTTTAGTCGAATTATATTTTTGCAGGTCAGGTTGCAAAGTGGCAGGTCGGATTTGACCATGTTGACAACGGTCCTAAAAATATCCGAAAAAACGTTGAATCAAACGATATGAACCTACACAGTTTTAATTATAAGACTGACACACACCATGCAGTGTGCTAACTGTGCTGGGTGAGGTGCTGTAACTTGATATACATGTATCATTAAGTTACAGTACTGTTAGGATTTGCCTGCCTTTTTACAGGGACTTTCTATACTAACTGTTAGTATAGACTGACCCTGGCTTGAAAGTATGGTTCTCTGCTCAGCAACGGTCGCGTGATTGTAGCAGTAAAATACATCGGGGGGTGGGGAGGGGGAGGGGGCACTTCAATACTTAATTGATAGGGGTGTCGCTTGGGTTCTGTTACCCCACCCTTTTCATATAATTTAGATCTTAAAAATGTATACCTTTTCATATATTGCGTCGGTAAAATTGTAACCTTTTCCCATATTGGTTGGGTTTCGTGGGGTGTGTTGGAAAAGTGGAATATTTAAGGCTAAGATTCTGTGTGTAATGTTTACTTACGGCGAGACTTTCGGCTGTGAAAAAATGACAGGGCTTTGCATATACAAGTACATATACAAGTAAATGGAACTTTATCGACCTTATCATATATTTCTGACAGTTTTCCCAACCTATTCCCATATTTTCAAGCTGGAAAAAGTGACCTATTCCAGCGGCAAATAACTTCGAGATTAATATGTAAGTTTACTTTGCTTATCGATGTTCCTGTAATTCAGATTAATATTTATTTGTGAGACCCCCGTCACTATTTATATTCACTCAAGAGTCACTCAAAGAAAGGGGTTCTCCGTTACTGGGAAATCTTATCTGATTTAGGATCAATTTATTGGTTACACTCCCCTATCACCAGTGATTCTTTGTCGTAAGCTGACATTTTGAAAAAGGTATACTGTTGACTATCAATTTGCATGATTAGTTACAGATGTCGACTCGGACTACTGCAAAAGACAATAACTCAGTTCACTGATTAAGATTGAATAGTGGTTCGGTTAATTCTCCTTTTCCCCAAATAAGTAAGAATTAGGTTACATCTTTAGGTAGTCAAAATAATTATGACGTCTTGCAAGACTATTTTAATTTTTTTTCTATCTATCTATCTTCATATTTCCGCACTCAGTCACAACTTTGACTATCATGTGGCCAGAAAAAAGTTAAAATAGCCTTGCAAGACGTCATAAATTTTTGGACTAATCTTTTGGCAAATATGGTGGTACAACAGGGGTTTAATTGTTACAATTTGCCGGATTTTCTATCCTTACGAACCCTGAAAAACTAACCAGGCCAGGTGATGAAAAATCTGTCTCCACTTTTTATCCCACCAGAAAATCAAAAGGTTGTCTCCTTATGGAGCTTCCATTTGATTTTTAGGGGGGAGCTAGGATGAAATTTGTAAAAAAAAGCAGGACAGGAGTTTTGAGTAAAAAAAAAAGGCAGGATGAGCAACATGGCAAAAAAAAAAGGCAGGATGACAATCTATGTAAAAAAAAGTCAGGATAAACTAATAAAAAAAAAAAGGCAGGATCGAATAGAGTGAAAAATATAAAGGCAGGACAGAGATTACAACTTAAAAAAAATGCAGGACAACATTTTTCATCCTACCCCCCCCCCCCCCCCCCCCCCCCCCATAAAAATCAAATGGTAACTCCCTTACACCTACATGACAAAAACATATACAAATATGGTATCATTGGACATTGCCAATGTGACGGCTCTTCAACAGAAACTAAAGACGTAGAAGTTAACAACTATATAGGTCACCGTAGGCTCTTCGACAGAAACTAAAGACAGAAGTTAACAACTATATAGGTCACCGTACAGATTTCAACAATGGGCTAAAAAGCCAAACTGCGTAATAAGCTACAAAAGGCCAAAATAGATAGACGATATCTGACAAGGGTAGAAATGATCAGAATGTTGAAAAATAAAATCTACTGTCCATTTTAAATGGCATCAAAACTGGCAGCTGACTCATAGGAGTTGTTGCCTTAAATACAGATTTTTACCTTTTTTTTTTCTTCATATTTCTTGAATTTGCCTTTTTATCTCTAAAACTGTAATATTTAAAGAGAAACTTACATTTGTAAATCTTATTAAAAAGTTATTGCTTTTCAATGATGATTTTGATCCAGTTTTTGCAAAAACTTGGAAACTTTAAATCTCTGGTAAACTCCTTATATTATACTGCCTGGTCTCGTGGTAGCGTGTTAACCTCAAGTGCAGAAGGTTGTTTATTTTGAACCCAACAGGGTAAAACCAAAGACTTTAAAGTTGGTATTTGCTGCTTCTCCCCTAAGCACGCAGTATTATTAAGGAGTAAGAGCAAATACTGGTTTGTTCAGAGTCAGAATTATGTGTCAAGGTAAGGTGACATGTCTCTCTGAGAACTAGTGTAAGAGATAAATTAGTCCTTGTAAAAATTGTCTGGTCAGACAAATATAACTAGTATAAAAAGTCCATGGATACAGAATTAACTAGTATATTTAGTCTGATGTCAGTAATTTATGTCCCCAGACTAATTTTCCTAGTCCAAGACATCACTATTCCTAGGTAAAAATGTCCAGTTTTTATACGGCTGCAAAAAAATTTTGCGGTCGTATATTGGTATAACATTGGCGTCTTCGTCCGAAGACACATTGGTTTTCGCACAATAACTTTAGTTTAAGTGAATGGATCTATATGAAATTTTACCATAAGGTTCAATACCACAAAAGGAGGGTTCGGAATGATTTTTGGGGTTATGGTACCAACAGTTAAGGAATAAGGGGCCAAAAATAAGCATTTTTGTAACTTCCAGACAATAACTTGTGTGTTAGTGTATGGATCTCTCTGACATTGTACCACAAAGTTCCATATCACAAAGGGAATGCTGGGATTGATTTTGGGGGTAATTGCCTCAAAATTTTAGGAATTAGGGGGCAAAAAACAAGCATTTTTCTAGTTTCATGACAATTACTTGTGTGTAAGTGTATGGATCTTTCTGAAATTGTACTACAAGGTTCCATACTACAAAGGGAAGGCTGGGATTGAGTTTGGGGGTGATGAATCATAAGGGGATTAAAAAAATGGGGGTGGGGATTTTTTTTTCGTATTTTTTTTCTTTAAAATTTTCCATTTTAAGTTGGTTATTTTTTATTTATGTATAAAAGCAAATAATAATGATATGATTTGATTTCATCAAAAATTGAAATATTGGGCTTCTTTGATATGCTGAATTTAACCGTGTATTTAGATTCTTAATTTTTGGTCCCGTTTTCAAATTGGTCTACATTAAGGTCCAAAGGGTTCAAAATTAAACTTAGTTTGATTTTAACAAAAATTGAATTCTTGGGGTTCTTTGTATGCTGAATCTAACTGTGTATGTATTTAGATTTTGGATATTGGACCATAATAGGTAAATTAAAAAAATTTAAGTTCTTAGACCACATTCATTCTGTGTCAGAAACCTATGCTGTGTCAAATATTTAATCGCAATCCAAATTCAGAGCTGTATCAAGCTTGAATGTTGTGTCCATACTTGCCCCAACTGTTCAGGGTTCTAACTCTGCGGTCGTATCAAGCTGCACCCAGCGGAGCATTTTATTCTAATACTGTATGCAACATGTCAAGTATATTTGGTGTATGAAAATTTTTAAGGATGTACATGTTAGTCTGGCATGTTTTATTCGACCTTGACCTCATTTTTATGGTTCATTGCTCAATGTTATTTTTTTGTTTTTTGGTCAGTTTTTCTATTTTCTTATTTTCAAATTAGCAATAGGTCAACTATATTTGGTGTATGGAATGATAGTAAGGTGCATATCATGATATGTTTGACTCAGAAGTTTCATCTTACCTTGACTTTATTTTCATAGTACATTGGACAATGTTTAGTTTTTGTGGTTTGGTCTATTTTTCGGATACTGTAAGCAATAAGGCCCCTATATTTGGTGAATGGAATGATTGTAAGATGCACAAGTCTGTCTGGCATGTTTTATATGACCTTGACCTCATTTTCATGGTTCATTGGTCAATGAAAAGTTTGCATTGTTTTGTCAGTTTATCATATGCTTTAAGCAACAGGTAAATTATATTTGGCGGATGTAACGATTGTAAGGTGTGCATGTCTGTCTGGCAGATTTATATAACCATGACCGTATTTTATGGTTCTTTGGTCAATGCTAAGTTTTCTTGGTTTTTTCTTTTTATCAGATATTATAAGCATATGTCTACTTGTAAGTGTATGGAATGACTGCAAGGTGTGATATAAGAATAAGAAGTTGTCTGTCTGCCAAGGTTAATATTACTGTGACCTCATTTTCATAGAATATTGATAATATTAAACAAAAAAAATGATGATCATGACAAGATATACAAATGATCCAAAATTGTCAGTTGCCTACTAATTATGTAATAGTAGTTATTGTCATTAAATGATAATGTTTACCCTTTTATGTGTAGGGCAAGAACATTAAAGATAAAGGGAAACTATAAACAAAAGAGATTATCAACAAAAATAGATTTCAGACGTCAACAAAGCCTAAATGGTAAGTCCACTTCTATAAAAGTTATTGCCCTTGAATAATGATTATTATGAGAATAAGATGTGGTATGGTAAATGAGAAAACTATCCACCAGAGTTCAATTAAGTGGATGAAAGCAATGCAATTACTTATTAGAGGCCAATGATGACCTGTAAATAATGAGAAAACCCATAACCTATATATATACATGATATAGTCATCTATAAAAGACACCACAAACAAAATTTGGAACAAAACATCAATTCAAACTTCAAATATACCAGACTAATTCATAAAAATGAACAAGTTATGAAAAAACAAATATGACGGACGTGAACCAACATCAACCACTGAACTATGTACAGGCTCCTGATTTCAGACAGGCAAAATATGGCAGGGTTGATATGAAAATAAGAAGCGGTATGAATGCCATTGAGACTTTTCTCCAATAAGGATCAAATGACATGAAATTTAACAAAATTAGTTCACTGTACAGCCTTCGACAATGAGCAAACCCTATACTGCATAGTAATCTATAAAAGGCCATGAAATTCAAAAAAAAACAAATGTAAAACAATTCAAAAAGGGCATGGCGTCATTTAAAAAGGGCATAATCTCTATCCATACTAAACATGCTTTGGGGATACACCACAAAGGCGAAAGCTAAGTGCCTGATTTTTGCACAAAACAATAAACAAAAAACAAATATGATATATAGCAACAATTGACAACCACTGAATAATAGACCCCTGACTTGGGACAGACACTTACAAAATGTGGCATGGTTTAACATGTTTGCTGGCACCAAATCCTCCTCTAATTAAGGACAGTGGTGTAAGTGTCAGTTCAATATAAAAACTATAAAATCAGTTGAAAAGGGCTTTTTTCTGCTCTTGGGTCAGGTTATTTTTATACATTCCCGTTTTCATTCTCAATTTTATTAACTCATTAGAATGCAACAAAGCAGAAAAACAGCTACCAAAAACACAGACCGGATGTGGCTGAACATTTATTCTTTCCCTGTAACAAAAAAGACTCAACATACAGATCTATTAGTACTCACAGTTACTGACAGCTAATTCATAGCAAATATCAACTAATAAAATAAACATTTTGTGAGCACCCATCCCACCCCTAACCTAGGACAGTGGTTTTAATAACAGCACAACAAAACATTTGTTGCAATTGGCTTAACTCAAAAGACTGCAACAAGGCACACAAACAACTAATATGAAAACCATAGACACAAAGCACTGAAATAAGAGTACTTACAATTTTAAATACTCAAATGAAAGTTTTATCAAAATGTACATAAACATGATAAAGTAGCCATTTTATTGCGGTATTTCTCATCGTTTATAATTTTTGAGTTTTGTGTATTTGTAGGTCAGACATCTTGGTTTTCATGATCATCATTCAACAGGTCAATACTGAACAGAAAACTTAAAGTTGATATTTTTCTATATAGTCATGATAGTGTGACTTTTTTATTAATTTGAAATGGAATGTGTTTTTTTCCTACATAAGAAAGAGGAAATTTCAACATAATGACTATAAACAAAAAGGAGTCATAGTATCATGATCATAGATGCACAAGAACTAAATCATGTAAATGCAACAACGTAATTATCAATTGAAAGAAGGGAGGAATGAAAAAATATATTAGTAATTTGTTGTCCAAATGAACTTGCTTTGTCCACTCATTTAAATCGCTCCATCCAATAAAGATGTACAGAGGAGGATTTTTGAAGAACAGATTGCAAAAATGTTTTGTCTAAGAATTGTAGGAATATTCTAGTGGATGAAATAATTTATTTACTTGACTCTTATGTAGTGGACTGAATAATTGTACACAGCAAGCTGAAACAAGAAAACTAAATCTTAATAGGAAAAGTGTTTATTTTATAAATTTGCAAATATAAACGTAATATTATGAACACCACAAAGGTATAAGATTCAAATTGTTTGCATATTCATGTATTGCAATGGAACTATAACAAAGAAAACTTTACCTCATTAAAAGAGTAAACTATTAACTGTGCTTTGTCAATTTATTCAGTCAGAATATGAAATATTTTTTTCAGTTCTATTTTTCATAATAAAACAAACAAGACAAAGATTTCAAATCAATATTTTTTTCTTTTATTAAGACATGTCATCATTTTATTTCAGTTAAAGGATTTTATTTTTTAACTTTAAATATTATTATACTTTCCAAAATAATAATAATCTTTATTGTCATATAAACAAATTAAAAACATGTTTGTGACAAAATGAAAAAACCCAAAATACACTAATATTTATATTATAAACATTTTACTACCAACCAGAATTCATTGTAACATACACATTACTGTATATTAATAATTTGAATTCCATAGGATTTTATTTTGTCCCATGGGATATTAAAAATCCCATGGGATAATTATAGTTCCATGGGATTTTTTTGGTCCCATGGGACAACAAATATCCCATGGGACTACAATTATCCCATGGGACCCAAAAAAATCCTATGGGATTTAACCAAAATCCCATGGGATAATGGTCAATCCCATGGGATTTGCCGTATCCCATGGGATATTGAAAATCCCATGTTTTTCTAAATCAAATTACAAAATATATATAATAATAACAGCAGAAAAGCAATGAAATTATTGAATCCCATGTAATTCTGCACATTTTGGTTATATACACGACACTGTAGGTGTAAGGAGAGGCGGCGGCGGATTTGCAAATGAGTGTTTTGCAAATTAAAAGTGTCCAGTGTTTATATATTATTACCACTGAGAATATACACAAGTGATGCCATAGCCGTGAGCCTCGTTATCATGTCTAAAAATATGCATACCAGGGCGACCAAGGCCATCTGTGTTTACATTGAGGATTATCACATTCCTCGATGAGAAATACACACAACAACATGAAGATATCGATTTTATTAACTATGTAGGTTTTACTTTACACATGATTGTTTGAAGTGGCCGGTGTCTATGGCAAGCCGTTTTAATATTTATTCTAACTTCAAGATATCTCATATAATATATAAGATATCTTATATAATCCAGTTTTTATACGATATCTTATAAACTTTATAAGATATCTTATATACTTTATAAGATATCTTATAAACTTTAGAAGATATCTTATATGTTTTTTGAGATATCTTATATACAAATTATTTATAAGATATCTCCTAAAGTTTATAAGATATCTTATATAAATAATTGCCTTGAAAATCAAAGTCTCCCTATAAATCAACCAATCAAAAATATTATCAAATTAAGTGCGAACTAGTAAACTCGTTTCCTACGTTTCATTTAATAAATAATCGTGTCCATGAACCAATCTTAGCAAAACCTACTAATATTATTGCCTATAGGATATTTTATTTCTTGTCCGTATCTAGTTTCTATAATGATTTTCCATGTATCGCTGTGTATACGTTATATGCAATTTTATATGCATTTAAATATTTGTCTTCAATTACAAGTTTATTCTATTATTGCTTTGTTATGCATGATTTGGTGATTCATATACATAGCATGTTTCGCTTATATATATTTACTTTAACTTATATATATTATCTTTAAATGTTATAACCTGATTTGACCTTTTCTCGGAAGATTGTTCTGTTGTATATATATACTTTTACACATCTATTTATTTGAAAGGATTTTCCCAACGTAAATGATCTGCGGTAATTAACTGGTCTTCTATGAATTTCTTTAACTTGATGATATTACACCTGGTGTTTCGGATATCATTTAGGTCAAGTTCGACCAAGGCCGTTCATCCTCGTCAGGTTTTTTTATTTACTATAACATTTGATTAAAATTACTTTTTGATTATAATCAATATGTTTCTATCGTGTAACGTATCAAAAGCAGTTACATTTTTGGGGCTCTGATGTAGGGAGCGTTTTTTTATTAAAAAAAATGGTTGAAGTCACGTTTATTTGATATCTTATAAAGTATATAAGATATCTCATATAATTTTTTATATAAGATATCTTAAAAATATTTTTTATATAAGATATCTTATAAATATTTTTTTATAAGATATCTTATATACTTTGTAAGATATCTCATATAGTTTATAAGATATCTTGTATAGTTTATAAGATATCTTATATACTTTATAAGATATCTCATATAGTTTATAAGATATCTTAAATAGTTTATAAGATATCTTATAAAGAAAATTATATGAGATATCTTATACATTATATGAGATATCTTATCAACTATATAATATATCTTATAAACTATATAAGATATCTTATAAACTATATAAGATATCTTATAAACTATATGAGCTATCTTATAAAGTTTATTAGATATCTTGAAGTTAAAATAAATAGTAAAACGGCTTGCCATAGGTGTCCTTTAAAAGAAGAGAATAATTTAGCTTTAACAATGATATGGTAATTATCTAGCAGGTACCCATTCACCAATATGAAAATTAGGTGAACTTTTCATAGACCAAAGGACAAAGATGTGCAAATTCCAGGTATCCATATGGCCTTTATTACCATTTTGTTATTCCTGTTATTAGTTAATTTAGTTGGATTGCCTAGATGAAGATGTGTTTGTCTTATGTCCCCTTGGCATTTTCTCACTTTGTGTTCAGCTAAATAGGGTTAGATAACTTATTGAGATTAACAATAAGTTCATTGGTTTAATTTGAACTTGAATGTACCGGAAACTATCTGCCATGATCATTTCCTTGTAAAGTTGATACAGGAAATTTTATTAAATAATCAGGGAAATATTGATACATATTTTGATCAGAAAATATAGCTGTGATTCTCGCCATGTTGGAGTTTTTGTACAGATTGGTATTTTTTTGTTATATTGTATGCATTGTGAAGTTTTCGTTTAGTCTCGATATTAATGATCCTGGAGTTTGTCGATTTCCACAGTAAGTTGGTTTATTTAAAAAATAGTATGATGTTATAATTTCCTAAAGCACAGCACAGTTTTGATGTTCTGTTTGCTCAACCTTTAATTCCTCCACCCAACCAAAGAGTAGAAGGGTGTTTAAACGAACTATTCAAATATAGAAAAAAAAAGATATTATTCTGCATAATTTTGAATTCAATAAAACCATTAAATGTTCTTTAACTAAGATTATGAATCTCAAAGGAAAAGTATTCTTAGAAGGTGTTATTATCAGTTCTGTTAATGCCCTTTTTATGTTTGGTTTTAAAACTTTTTGTTTTGCGATCCTGACTGAGGCTATTATAGAAAAAAGTGATTTAATCACGGAAATTAGTAGCATATGTTTTATTGCATATTTATTGGTACACTAGAAAACACATTTCAGTCTGAAACGGTCATTTTGATCTGAAATGTCTGAAACTGAAAACTTGAAAGAGAGGCAAAAGATACCCAGGGATAATCCGTTTAAATCTTGTTATTTTTCATCAGATATAAATGTTTGCTATGAATTTAGTACTGTTCAGACTTTTTGTTCGCAGTTAATCCAGTACTATTCTGTACTTTTTCGGAGATTTCAGTATGTTGTTTTGTACAAGCAAACAACAGCTACTGAACAAATCTGAACATAGACTGGTCAGCAGCTATTAGTTGACTGCAATCGAACTGTCTTAACAGTACTGAATTAACCGCACTGGATAAGTCAGATAAGAAAAACTAAACATGACTTAGAAATTTATTGTTCTGTCTTTTAAGATTTGTTCCGATCAAATGGCCGTTTCAGTTAAAAATTTGATTACTTATGATAGAAAGCTAAATAAAAACATGTGCTCTCTTTATCAGTCAGAGATATAACTCTATAGGGTTATTACAGAAAATAACTAGCGTGTGTTATTACATATACTTTCATGAGTTGTCTACTCTTTATTCCTTAAATTTTCTAAATCTGCAATAACATATGTTTGTTATTTGTAAAATAAATCAAAAATATTTTAATTTATAATGGGCTCTAGGGAACTCTTGAGACTTTGCGCAGAAAATAAATGCATAGCCTTGATAATTTTATTTTTATTTAAATTAATACATATTTGATTAACCATGGTAAATCAATGAGACGAGGCTTTTAAGGGTTAAACTTAGCTGTAATAATATAGCTTAGTTATTAAAGGAATGTAACGTATTATATGAGACACTTGGGAATTACTTGGAAGCTTGCACAGAACCTCATTACATGCTCTGGTCATTATTTCTTACAATAAATTAAAATACATTGTAATTAAGCATGATGTATGTCTGAGAAAATGCTTTGGAGTGATATAGAGAAGCTGTGATAACACCCTTTAGTTATTACAGGCATATTTTTTCTGTAATAATATATAGGTGTACTATGCAAAATTGACAAACTATGAACTGTTATATCTTTCTATAGTTAAGTATACATAAAGACAATAGTAATATCAATAGAACTTGTATGCATTTTAACTAAACTAGTGATGTATATTGTCCCTTTGAAACATGTAACATACATATGT